TACCACTGACTCGTGGGGGACACAATGTAAGTTGGATTAACAATATTTCCAGATGTTGATATTTTTTCCTACTACGCTAAAAATTATTTATAAAACATTCACTTCAGTTTACATTTTCACGTTTTTTTTTTTGCGAATTGAGTTTTTCGGTTTAGCAAAGAGTTCTTGAAAGCGTTATTTTCTTAGTTTCCCCTGCTCTATTTAAAACTCCTAAGCCCAATAAGAGAGATGAAAATGTACAAAGATCCCCCCCCCCCAGAAACCAAAAATGCCAAGCCAACTCTGTTTAGTAGTTAACGAGAAAGAAAAAGGGGGGGTATAATAAATATGACGGTTACACTTCACTTCGCCCCCCAGTGACACAACGGTATGTCTACGGACTTACAACGCTAGAAACCGGGTTTCGAAACCCGTGGTTGGCAGAGCACAGATAGCCCATTGTGTAGCTTTGTGCATAATTACAAACAAACACTTCACTATTCGGTTAGACCAGAACTGTTTTATCCAATGAGTAAAAGCAGTTGTCCAGGGCACACCGCGCGCCAGCGTGATGTGGTCAGGAGTGGGAGGAGAGTCCTTGATTTATTGAATTTAAAAATATTTTTCCCTTTTTTTTATTCCCATAATTTTTTTATCATTAATAATTTTAGTTTGTCAAACTGTATGGTATTTTCTTAAAAGCGGGAGTGGGGGGGGGGGGACATTAGTCTACACTTTACCCAGGGCCCACCAATGCCTTAACGCGGTACTGCAGCAAACAAGAGTAGCCCAAAGTTAGGCAGTGTAGCTGCCTTCCCTCTAGTCTATTAGTTTAAAATTTGGGATGGCTGGGCAGATGGCCTAACAATATAAGAATATTTAGTGTTCCATTAAACACCCGCAAATAGCGAGTTTTTACTAAATGAATACAATGCTAATTAATATATTTTTAGAAATTTATTATATGAATCAAATGCCTATTTATATGGGTTTTTATATTTATATATTTGTATTTCTATTTATATATTTTTAAAAGTTATTAACATTACGGAGGCATAACGGAAAAGTACCAGAGAATATCCGGAAACAATAGGAAACAATTTTTTATAAATACTCTCTAACGATATTTATTTGAAATCCTCAATAAAAATTAAATAAAAATAGGAGGGATTTTTTATGTAAGACTTTGAATATTCATTGAATATTTTTCTCTAAAGTGTTGCGTCCAATAAATAATTATGTTTTATATTTCTTAACCTTCAAACTGTTTCGTATTAAATCATGTTTTTACAGGGTTATTTTACCGAGAAACTAATTCTTTACATACACTGTAAAGTTTAACAGTAGTTTTTTAACAATTAAATTGTTTCGTAACAAAAGTTTTTTTTTTCGTCAACCTGTCTCGAGTGGTCTACAGCTGCTATTATTTAGGCCTTTTGGTGTGTTTACAAATCATCTGTAGAAGATGTTATTTACGTCATCTGATATGTTTGCAAACAATCTGTAGATGTCACTGTTTGTTTGTTTGAACTTCACCCAAAGCTACTCGAGGGTTATCTGCGCTAATCGTACCTACTTTTGTAGTGACAGACTAGAGGGAAGGCAACTAGTGAACACCACCCACCGCTAACTCTTGGGCTACTCTAAACCAACGAATAGTAGGATTTACAGTAACATTATAATGACCCACGGCTGAAAGGCCAAGCATCTTTGCCAATGGATTTTGATCCCTTGACCCGCAGATTCCGAGTTGAGCCATGGTAGGTCGTAGATGATATAATCTAGCCGGTCTGAGTATTTGTTGATGATTTGTGAATGACACGATTTACCTCATCTAATTTACTTTTCACCAAATTTTAGGTATCATTTGCTAACCTGGTGCTTTTTCTTTGACTTTGTGTGAATAGCTGATGAAGTTTTATCACGATGCTATAGATAACACCTTTAGCTAATACGATACATTAGGTTCCGCTACAAAATAGAACAATAAATACGGCTTATTACTATTATTTTTGGAAAATATATGTATTTAAGTCACGTCACTATATACTGGGCGCAGTGAACTCCATGATTCCCAAATACCCCCACCCAAAAATCACTAATTATCACCGTCACATTATGTGAGGGAGGAAATGTTTTCACCCCTGTGTGTGTGTGTTTGTCAGCAGGATTTCTCAAAAACGGCTGATTGGATTTGAGCGAAAGTTGGTATACATTTGGATTATGACCCAACTTAAAAGTGATTAGTTTTTGGAGGGTCGAGGTCACGAAAATCCAAAAAATCCCTGTCTGTTAACATGGGGACCAATTTTTCACACCATGTTTGCTATATACAATGGCGTAGCAAGGGCTCTCAGCACTCGGGGGCAAAGACACTTTTGGCGCCCCCACCCCTGAAATATTTTGATTATTTGTTTTGTGACTCATTACCCACTTAATGACAATAGCATAAAGAATTAATTACCGCCTTAGACAGGCCTAAAATAAAGTCACAATATAACATCTCACGATATCACAATTTTAAACCTGGAACTAATGAAGTATAGCCTACTAGGTGTACTTACATAATT